AACATCTAGTCTTCTATTAGCAATACTTAGTTTTCTGCCAGCAATATTTAATCTTTTTCCAGCAGTATATAGTCTTTTGACAGCAGTATTTCGTCTTCCGGTAAGACTGTACTGTTTTCTATGAGAAGAATCTGCACCATCAGTAATATTTAGTCTTCTGACAACAGAATTTGGTCTTCTGACATCAAAATTATAATGTGATATAAAAACTACATGATAATATTATTGAAATTTCCAGGAAAAAATTATTAAAAAAGAAATTGTCAAATTAATAAATCCAAAATATTACGAAATTTTCAAAAAATCATATCTGCCGTGTTTTAAATGATAATGATATGACATGTATGTTAAATTGAAGCTTAAAGATTCTAGATTATGATGTGATATAAAAATTATATGATAGCGTTATTGAAATTTGCAGGAAAAAATTGTTAAACAAGAAATTGTCAAATTTATTAATCAAAATAAGAATTTTCAAAAAATCATATCGTCCGTGTTTTTAATGATAATGATATGATATGTATGTTAAATTGAAGCTTAAAGATTCTAGTTTATGATGTGATATAAAAACTATATTATAATATTATTGAAATTTCCAGAAAAAAGTAATTAAAGAAGAAATTGTTTAATTTATAAATGAAAAATAAATAAAAATTTCAAAAATCATATCGGCGGTATTTTTAATAATAATGATATGTATGTTAAATTGAAGCTTAAAGATTCTAGATTATGATGTGATATAAAAATTATATGATAGCGTTATTGAAATTTGCAGGAAAAAATTGTTAAACAAGAAATTGTCAAATTTATTAATCAAAATAGGAATTTTCAAAAAATCATATCGTCCGTGTTTTTAATGATAATGATATGATATGTATGTTAAATTGAAGTTTAAAGATTCTAGATTATGATGTGATATAAAAATTATATGATAACATTATTGAAATTTCTAAGAAAAAATTATTAAAGAAGAAATTGTCAAATTAATAAATTCAAAATAATAAGAAATTTAAAAAAAATCATATCTGCCGTGTTTTTAATGATAATAATATGATATGTATGTTAAATTGAAGCTTCAAGATCCTATTTTATGATGTGATATGAAAACTATAAAATCCTATTATTAAAATTTCCAGGAAAAAATAATTAAAGCAGAAATTGTATAATTTATTAATCAAAAATAATTAAAAATTCAAAAATCATATGGGCGGTGTTTTTAATAATAATGGTATGTATGTTAAATTGAAGCTTAAAGATTCTAGATTATGATGTGCTATAAAAATTATATGATAATATTATTGAAATTTCCAGGAAAAAAGTAATTAAAGAAGATTAAATTGTATAATTTATAAATGAAAAATAAATAAAAATTTCAAAAATCATATCGACGGTGTTTTTAATGATAATGATATGATATGTATAGTAAATTGAAGTTTAAAGATTCTAGATTATTATGTGATATAAAAATTATATGATAATATTATTGAAATTTCTAAGAAAAAATTATTAAAGAAGAAATTGTCCAATTAATAAATTCAAAATAATACGAAATTTAAAAAAAATCATATCTGCCGTGTTTTTAATGATAATAATATGATATGTATGTTAAATTGAAGCTTAAAGATTCTAGTTTATGATGTGATATAAAAACTATATTATAATATTATTGAAATTTCCAGAAAAAAGTAATTAAAGAAGAAATTGTTTAATTTATAAATGAAAAATAAATAAAAATTTCAAAAATCATATCGGCGGTATTTTTAATAATAATGATATGTATGTTAAATTGAAGCTTAAAGATTCTAGATTATGATGTGATATAAAAATTATATGATAGCGTTATTGAAATTTGCAGGAAAAAATTGTTAAACAAGAAATTGTCAAATTTATTAATCAAAATAGGAATTTTCAAAAAATCATATCGTCCGTGTTTTGAATGATAATGATATGATAAGTATGTTAAATTGAAGCTTAGAGATCCTATTTTATGATGTGATATAAAAACTATATTATAATATCATTGAAATTTCCAGGAAAAAATAATTAAAGAAGAAATTGTATAATTTATAAATCAAAAATAAATAAAAATTTCAAAAATCTTATCGGCGGGGTTTTTAATGATAATGATATGTATGTTAAATTGAAATTTAAAGATTCTAGATTATGATGTGATATAAAAATTATATGATAAGGTTATTGAAATTTCCAGGAAAAAATTGTTAAAGAAGAAATTGTCAAACTTATTAATCAAAATACGGAATTTTCAAAAAAATCATATTGTCCGTGTTTTTAATGATAGATAAGATATGTATGCTAAATTGAAGCTTAAAGATCCTATTTGATGATGTGGTACAAAAAGTCTAAGATGATATTATTGAAATTTCCAAAAAAATGGTATAATTAAGAAAAATCAAAAATTATTAAAATTTCAATAAATCATATCTGCCGTATTTTTAATGATAATGAAATGATATGTATGTTAAATTGAAACTTAAAGATTCTAATTTATAGTGTGATATAAAAACTAAATCATAATATTCCACGAAACAATTATTAAAGAGGAAATTTTCAAATTATAAATAAAAATAACACCAAATTTTCAAAAAATCATATTTGCCGTGTTTTTAATAATAATGATATGATATGTATGTTAAATTGAAGCTTAAAGATTCTAATTTATAGTGTGATATAAAAACTATATCATAATATTATTGAAATTTCCACGAAAAAATTATTAAACAGGAAATTTCCAAATTATAAATAAAAATAACACCAAATTTTCAAAAAATCATATTTGTCGTGTTTTTAATGATAATGATATGATATGTATGTTAAACTGAAGTTTCAAGATCCTATTTTATGATGTGATATGAAAGCTATAAGATCGTATTATTGAAATTTCCAGAAAAAAGTAATTAAAGAAGATTAAATTGTATAATTGTTGTGTTTTTAATGATAATGATATGATATGCATGTTAAATTGAAGCTTAAAGATTCTAGATTATGATGCGATATAAAAATTATATGATAATATTATTGAAATTTCTAAGGAAAATTATTAAAGAAGAAATTGTTAAATTAATAAATTTAAAATAATACAAAATTTTAAAAAAATCATATTTGCCGTGTTTTTAATGATAATGATATGACATGTATGTTAAATTGAAGCTTAAAAATTCTAATTTATAGTGTGATATAAAAACTATATCATAATATTATTAAAATTTCCACGAAACAATTATTAAAGAGGAAATTTCCAAATTATAAATAAAAATAATACAAAATTTTCAAAAAATCATATTTGCCGTGTTTTTAATGATAATGATATGATATGTATGTTAAATTGAAGTTTCAAGATCCTATTTTATGATGTGAGATGAAAACTATAAAATCATATTATTGAAATTTCCAGGAAAAAAGTAATTAAAGAAAATTAAATTGTATAATTTATAAATGAAAAATAAATAAAAATTTCAAAAATCATATCGGCGGTGTTTTTAATGATAATGATATGATATGTATATTAAATTGAAGTTTAAAGATTCTAGATTATGATGTGACATAAAAATTATATGATAATATTATTGAAATTTCCAAGAAAAAATTATTAAAGAAGAAATTGTCAAATTAATAAATTCAAAATAATACGAAATTTTCAAAAAATCAATTCTGCCGTGTTTTTAATGATAATGATATGATATGTATGTTAAATTGAAGCTTCAAGATCCTATTTTATGATGTGATATGAAAACTATAAGATCCTATAATTAAAATTTCCAGGAAAAAATAATTAAAGCAGAAATTGTATAATTTATAAATCAAAAATAATAAAAAAATCAAAAATCATATGGGCGGTATTTTTAATAATAATGATATGTATGTTGAAGTTGTAAATTGAAGCTTAAAGATTCTAGAATATGATATGATATAAAAATTATATGATAATGTTATTGAAATTTCCAGGAAAAAATTGTTAAAGAAGAAACTGTCAAATTTTTTAATCAATATACAGAATTTTCAAAAAATCATATCGTCCGTGTTTTTTATGATAATGATATGATATGTATGTTAAATTGAAGCTTAAAGGTCCTATTTGATGATATGATGTAAAAATTAAGATAATATTATTGAAATTTCCAAAAAAATTGTATAATTTAGAAAAATCAAAAATTAAAAAATTCCAAAAAATCATATCGGCCGTGTTTTTAATGATGATATGCAAAGCATAAAATAAAAAGACAAATAATATATATTATTTACCTCCAAAGAATTTCTCATCCTGTTTATAATCGCATCTTTTTTAACACAATGAAGATTATAACCAATCACAGATTCCTCCATCGATTTATCCATTTGCTCCTCAAGCCATTCAACGACGGTTTGGTTGTTATCCCATAAATACCCCTTAATTAAATTAAACAAAAATCATTAATTAATTAAGAACAATTTAAAATTTCAAATTAATTTACCTCCGCGATTCCTTTCGTCTCAACAAACCACCGTCTCAACATCGCTTCAGTTTGTCCCACTCCCAAATTAGGTTGCGCTTCCAACAAACTCGAAATAACTTGATCTTGCAATATTAATCTTTTTAACCTCCAATATAAAACCCTCCGCGAATTCTTCCAAGTTAAAATATCTAAGATTGTTCCTTTTTCGTGCATTCTTTCGGGGGTATCGTGCAAATCGGCGAAATGAACCGCGACTTGATGATACATCGGCATTAATAAAGCCTCGCGATTCGCAATTTTTGTTTCTAACTCAATCACTTCGGGGGTTTTAGCGACTTCTTGAGTTTGCGCCGCTGATAAGCTATTTTTTCTTTCGAAGGATGATGTAATGTGGTTATGATTCGATTGGATTTTGATGGTTTCTAGCCAATCTTTGATTAGCGGGTCGATTCGGTGGATCGCTTTGATTAAATCTTTTTTGCGGTATTTGATTTCGACGATTCCTTCTGGTTCTAAAACCCCACCTCGTGCGTCAGCGTCGGCGTACATCTCCATGTAACGGGGGTTTATCGTGGGGTCAACGACCGCCCAAGCTCCACCGCGGAGCTCCCCGTGGGGTGGGATGTAAATTATGATGGGTTTTGTGTATTTGCGTAACCCATCGACTATGTAAGCGCCGAATTTCATGATTTGTTCGTACATGTCTTTCATCCCCCCGCTAAATCCGCGCCAATTCGCGAATATTATTAAGGGGAGGTCTTCGCGGGAGAAATCTTGGATTGCTTGGGCCGTTTTGTAGGCGGAATCCGGGAACCAAACTTGACCGGCTTGGGAAATTTTTTTCGCCTCAGAGTCTAAATTCGCAGGATCCGCTGGGAGATGCACCTCAACGGTTCTTGTTTCAACAGCGATAACCCCAACGGGGATTCCCCCCAATCTCGCTCTTCCCGTTACAACAGTTTGAGCCCACGGTTGCATAATTTCCTGCCACGAATCTTTATCAAATAACCCATCCTCCCAAACGTTTGGATCACTTAAAGATTGTCTCATAGCTAACATAACAATAATTGGAGTTTTCATTTTTGACTACACAGTGTGTCCGTAAAGTAACGGATATAAGTGATAAAATCATTATAAACAGCTTATGGAAAAATCCCTGAAACGGGTCTAAAGATTTAAATTTGTTGTAATTTTTTGGTGTATATTTCAATTTTTTTCCGCTACTTTTGAACGAGTTATGACGTCATCGATATTTTTTTTCAAATCGCAATCCTCCATTTTTATTACGGAATATGAAAGAATATCTTTTTCTGAATCTAGTACACTCAGTATTAATATTGGTTACATAAGAAAATTTTCGAGAAAAATTGCTTTAAAGATTAAAGTCTTCAAATTTGAATAACATGATAAAAATAGCAGTAGCCATGGGTAACTATGGTAACCAATTATTTTAAACCATTTCCTAAGTATCAAAAATTCCTAACAAATTTTATTTAAAACGCTGCTTATTTATGACTTTGTGTCTATCACGAAAAAAATATATCCTCAATCTCAAAAACAAATAATTTTAAAATTCAGTTAGCTCGATTGATACCAATTTAATTCGATAAAAATAAACGCGAATTTATCAGGATACAGGAAAGGTAGGTTCATATTATGTCTTGAATAAAAAGTCAATCAAATTTTTTAAATTACTTATCTTTTAGCCTCTCCTAAACAAATTACATTTATAATTAACTATAAAAAATCGAAAAAACCCACCTCGATTTAACACAAAAAACTCATTTCGAAAGCTGTACTAAAATCGGAAACATCAAAAAAAAAACCCGGAATTAACCTTAAATAATCGCTCACTATAAATAATAACGAAAAAACCGTATTTAACAAAAACCAAACAAAAGTAATAAAAAAAATCGTTTTAAAAACTCACTTGTAGTTAATTCGTAGACCCGCACCACCGACAATTACATCGCGCACTCTCTCCCGCAATTAATTAACTAATATAATTAATTTCGCCATCGTTAACTCGTCTCCGCGCTCGTTTCCGTTTGATTTAGCTGCGATAAAATCCTGATTACTTCCGCTTTCTGCATATCATTTAATTTTTGGATGATATCTACGACGGCGTCCAGCGCAACATCGGGGCAATCCTTTAACAACAAATTTATCGTTAATAAAAAAATTAATTAATTAAAATTTATATGTATATAATATTATAGTGTTCGCCAATTCTATTTTTAAGAATTATAATATGATATGTATGTTAAATTGTAGCTTAAAGATTTTAGTTTATGATGTGATATAAAAATTATATGATAATGTTATTGAAATTTCCAGGAAAAAATTGTTTAAAGATTAAATTGTTAAATTTATTAATCAAAAATAAAAGAAATTTTCAAAAAATCATATCGTCCGTGTTTTTAATGATAATGATATGATATGATTGTTAAATTGAAGCTTAAAGATCCTATTTGATGATGTGATATAAAAACTATATGATAATATTATTGAAATTTTCACGAAAAAATTATTAAAGAGGAAATTTTTAAAATTATAAAATAAAAATAATAAAAGAAATTTAAAAAAATCATATTTGCGTTGTTTTTAATGAAAATAATATGATGTGTATGTTAAATTGAAGTTTAAAGATGCTATTTTATGATGTAATGTAGAAACTATAAGATGATATTGTTGAAATTTTCAGGAAAAAAATATTAAAGAGGAAATTGTTAAATTATAAATCAAAAATAAAAATTTTCAAAAAATCATATCTGCCGTGTTTTTGATGATAATGATATGATATGTAGGTTAAATTGAAGCTTAAAGATTCTAGTTTATGATGTGATATAAATATTCCAAGATAATATTATTGAAATTTTTAGGAAAAATTATTAAAAAAGAAATTGTCAATTTTATAAATCAAAAATAATACTAAATATTTCCTCTATGAGAAGCATCTGCGTCATTAGTAATATCTAGTCTTTTGACAACAGAATTTGGTCTTCTGATAGTAAAATTAAGTTTTCTGCCAACAGTATTTAGTCTTCTATTAGATGTGTGTAATCTACTGCAAGAAGGATCTACTTCATTTGCAACATCCAGTCTTTGAGCAGTATCTAAGTCTTCTGTCAAGAGTATTTCATCTTCTGGTAACTGTTTCTTGTCTTCTATAAGAAGGATCTGCACCATTAGTAATGCCTAGTCTTCTAAGAGCTGAATTAAGACTTCTACAACCAGTATTTACTCTTTTGCCAACGGTATTTTGTCTTCTCGTAATAATGTGTCTTCTATAAGGAGGATCTTCCCTATTAGCAATATCTAATCCCGTGCCAACAGTATTTGGTCTTCTGGTAGTAACTAGTGTTCTGTAAAAAGGATCTACTTCATTAGCAACATCTAGTCTTCTATTGACAATCTGTAGTCTTCTATGATCAATGTCTCATCTTTTTCCAGCAGTATATAGTCTTCTTTCTGACAGCAGTATTTCGTCTTCCGGTGAGACTGTATTGTCTTCTATGAGAAGGATCTGCACCATTAGTAATATTTAGTCTTCTGACAACAGAATTATAGTGTGATATAAAAACTATATCATAACATAATTGAAATTTCCAGGAAAAAGTTATTAAATAAGGAATTGTCAATTTTATAAATTAAAAATAATTCGAATTTTTCATAAAAAATCACATCGGCCGTGTTTTTAAGATTTATGATATGTATGTTAAATTGAAGCTTAAAGATTCTAGTTTATGATGTGATATAAATACTACCAGATAATATTATTGAAATTTTCAGGTAAAAATTATTAAAAAAGAAATTGTAAATTTTATGAATTAAAAATAATGCTAAATATTTCCTCTATGAGAAACATCTGCATCATTAGTAATATCTAGTCTTCTGACAACAGAATTTGGTCTTCTGATAGCAAAATTAAGTCTTCTGCCAAGAGTATTTCGTCTTCTATTAGATGTGTGTAGTCTACTGCAAGAAGGATCTGCTTCATTTGCAACATCCTGTCTTTCATTAGCAAGTCTTCTACCAGCAATATCTAGTGTCTTTCGAGCACTATATAAGTCTTCTATCAAGAGCATTTCATCTTCTGGTAACTATTTGTTGTTTTCTATAAGAAGAATCTGCACCATTAGTTATGCTTAGTCTACTAAGAGCCGAATTAAGACTTCTGCCAGCAGTATTTAATCTTTTGCCAACGCTAATTCGTCTTCTGGTAATTATGTGTAGTTTTCTATAAGGAGGATCTTCCCTATTAGCAATATCTAATCTTTTTCCAGCAATATCTAGTCCTCTGCCACTAGTATTTCGTCTTCTGGTAGTAATGTGGTAAAGTCTTCTGTAAGAAGGATCTACTTCATTAGCAACATCTAGTCTTCTATTAGCAATACTTAGTTTTCTGCCAGCAATATTTAATCTTTTTCCAGCAGTATATAGTCTTTTGACAGCAGTATTTCGTCTTCCGGTAAGACTGTATTGTTTTTGATGAGGAAAATCTGCACCATTAGTAATATTTATTATCTGACAAGAGAATTTGGTCTTTTGACATCAAAATTATAATATGATTTAAAAACTACATGATAATATTATTGAAATTTCCACGAAAAAATTATGAAAGAAGAAATTGTCAAATTAATAAATCCAAAATACGAAATTTTCAAAAAATCATATCTGTCGTGTTTTTAATGATAATGATATGATATGTATATTAAATTGAAGCTTAAAGACTCTAGATTATGATGTGATAAAAAAATTATATGATAAGGTTATTGAAATTTCCAGGAAAAAATTGTTAAAGAAGAAATTGTCAAATTTTTTAATCAAAATACGGAATTTTCAAAAAATCATATCGTCCGTGTTTTTAATGATAATGATATGATATGAATGTTAAATTGAAGCTTCAAGATCCTATTTTATGATGTAATATGAAAACTATAAGATCATATTATTAAAATTTCCAGAAAAAAATAATTAAATAAGAAATTGTTTAATTTATAAATGAAAAATAAATAAAAATTTCAAAATCATATCGGCGGTGTTTTTAATAATAATGATATGTATGTTAAATTGAAGCTTAAAGATTCTAGATTATGATGTGATATAAAAATTATATGATAGCGTTATTGAAATTTGCAGGAAAAAATTGTTAAACAAGAAATTGTCAAATTTATTAATCAAAATAGGAATTTTCAAAAAATCATATGGTCCGTGTTTTTAATGATAATGATATGATATGTATGTTAAATTGAAGCTTCAAGATCCTATTTTATGATGTGATATGAAAACTATAAAATCCTATTATTAAAATTTCCAGGAAAAAATAATTAAAGCAGAAATTGTATAATTTATTAATCAAAAATAATTAAAAATTCAAAAATCATATGGGCGGTGTTTTTAATAATAATAATATGTATGTTAAATTGAAGCTTAAAGATTCTAG